TGCCTATTTACAGAGGTGGAGGAAGTACTCAGATCTTAAGTAGAAATAGCACAGTGTAGGAACACTCTCTTACAATAGTCCTGTATTCAAAATGTTACTCAAGTAAAAGTACAAAACTACTAGCATCAAAACATACTTAAAAGAAGCAGTAATTATGCAGATTGGCCAAATTGAGGATAATATATATTATATGTTTTGATGCATTTAGGTGTTATTAAAGCTTGTAAGGGTGCAGCTAGTTTTAATTACTTGTTATACTGCAGGGTAACTATAGTCTTATGTAAGTGTTCACTATATTTCACATCATTAATCCAACTCTGCAAAGTCACATAAATGTCAAAGCCAAAGTATAATATTTACCTCTGAATTGCAGTGGAGTAGAAGTACAAAGTAACATACAATGGACATACTCAAGTAAAGTACCTCAGAATTGTAGTTAAGTACAGCACTTGAGTAAATGTACAGTTACTTTCACCACTGACTATTTATGTTTCAAAGTAAAAATAAAGAGTCGGCCACACCTACCTGAAGGGTCGTGCAGTCACCCAGCTCTAGGGGCCGGGTGGCCCCGGGTCACCCACGTGAGGGAGGAGGGGGTCAGGAGACAGACACCGAAGTGGGCGTTTTTCCACCAATGTTGTGTTACATGGCAATCACACCTGCTGTTCGTCAACGAGCGGTCACACTGAGGTTGGGGAGCCAGAAATGAAGTGGACAGTCGTCACGGTTGTCCAGTCTCCCCACTCTGTGGACGACGACGAGGTGGAAGAAAAACCGGAGCAGGGGAGGAGAAGATAAATTACATTTAAGTCTGTACATTAAAAATAAATCCTGGATACTTTCACCCTCATTCCCAGTTTCGTTTTGCCTTGCCCCCCCCCCTCCTTCCCTGCATTAATATGTAGGCTATACCACGAGGCACTTCTTCAACCCCTGTCTTCTCGTTAAACACTCCAGAAATATAAGAAATAGCCAGGAAAAATAGGTAGGTCCTCGAATCCTTGAGGAAAAATATTAGAATACGGGATGGTTTATATAGGCAGTGAAGCAAAATGGCGACTTTATTACGAAGGAGGAGTAAAAAAAATCCTTGCGCTGGCTGGAACTAAAGGGAGGCACACAAATAAATGTAGTGCAGTAATTTCGACGGCAGCGAAACACTTGGTTAGAGTAAAAGGAAATGAAGCGAAGGAAAATGAGCAGAAACGCCAAACCTCAGTCGGTTTTGGTACAGTCCTCGGTTCCTTACCTCGGGATTATTTCGGTTTTTTATACGGATATTATCTCGGCGGCCGTGTACAGTATTACAGTAATGTGTGTTGGGTCATGCGCGTATCCACTCCACCTTTGACAGTTGCAACTACAGTCTTGAGGCAACTTGCAAACTCTCGCGTTATTATTATCGATATCGAGTAGATTAATATTGGGGTTTCTGTCTATTAAACTCGCTGCATACCGGCTCGTGCTGCTCTTCCGACGTAACGGCGCTCGTTCCTGACGAAAAAGGGTCAGGGCTGAAATTCCTCAAATCAACCTTCGCCAAGTATTTTAATCTAGTTGCTGCCAAATGTTCTCCCCATGTGTCCTCCAGCTATAGCGGCTTTACCAAATCAGATTAGAGTCCAGGCTGTGGCTATTCGATGCCATACCCTTACTGAAGGCCAGGGCCTTTAGTCAGTCACGTCAAGCAGCCCTGTTCCAAAAACCACTGGAATAGCAATGTGCTTAATAATGAGTTTACTCACATCATCTATTTATAGGCTAATAGATCCGGTAAGTGTTATAGGCTTTATAGATAATAAATGCTTTTATAAGAATCCAATACCACAATCCCAAAATTCAAGGTCATATAGATGTATTAATCCTATTGATGTTAAATGCACCTCAACACACACAGACCTACAGTCAATAAAATATTGGATTTTTAATTGCTGTTAGTGGACTACAGGCCATGTGCACACTCCTTGCATCTTCCCATGTAAATATATATTTTTAATACGTGTTTAACATATGGTTTAAAGCAACATCTTCCTTGTTATCACAGCTCATTAAATGAATCATCTTATGCATAATTTCCAACTCACTCGGTTTCAGTTAAAACAACAGAAGGTCTCTCTTTCCTGTATTTGATTGGTGCCATTCGTCATGACCTAATATGTCCTATTAGTGAAAATCATTTAAAACCATGATGTAATGTAGGCTATGTAAAAAAAAAAATCTGAATTACCAGTGGAGGGCAGGAGAGGCTAATTTATGGAATTACATTGACTGTGGTGATGTATACACCCACGTTTCACGTGTATTTAAGTACATTCAATTTATATTTTGTTGTATTAAAGTATTTAAAGGTATCAACCTCTTAAATGAATTTCCTTAAAGTTAAAGTCCTGTTTTTGCAGACTGCTTTGCTATGTATTTTAGTATACTGTCTCCAAATGTTTAATCATGCCACTGATTTGTATTTGATAAGAATTTCACAGAATAGGATAAAAAGTTATTGTATAGTTGAAAATTATAAAATATTTCAAAACACATGTTTTTACTGGCTGTCTTGTCAATATTTGTTTGCATTAAGCTTCCACAAGGGGGGCAGTGTTGTCCTGTGATTTGTTTCAGGCAGCTCTAAAATCATATGGTAACAAGGGCCCTCAAGCATGTTTTGCACCTTAAACGTGTAGTTGATTTTAATGGCAACGTCATGTGTGTAAGTCTCATCTCCTAAAACTTGAAGGGATGATCAGCTGGTTCATGAAACTGAGTCGGAGGGTTTTTCACTCTCAACTGAGTGATAACTGCCATTTTTCTGCACGCTCCGCCCAACTGATAAAATTAAAGCTTCTTGCTCCCTTAAAAGGTCGCTGATGAATAGTTCACGCAGGGCCTTGTTTGACCTGTGATTAATCCTTTCACCATGGCAGTGATTTATGTTCCCTCTCCTCCTCTGCTGAGTGAACAAAAGGCTACTTAATAGTTTTTCAAACCAGGTGGAGTGGTCTTGCGCCCTAAAAGGCCCTTAAAGAGTCCATCCAGTTGATTGTGTTATTTATCATTTGACCTTTCTAGTGAAAGTTGAGTGAGCACACATGCACTTTTTTCTATACTGCCTTGCTTTGTGGTATCCTGAATTTTAACACTTGGGCGCTGGCCTTTATATATACAGTATATGGCGCTGGCCATGAAATAACAGTCTTCAGCTGTTTGCGCCACTGAGCAACTCCACTGGAGCAGCTGCTTAAGGGCTGCTCAACAGTAGTTGATGAGAGAGGACAGAGTGTTTCTCATTTTATTTCAGAGCTGTCAGAGGACTGAGATCCAGCTGATCAAAGCCGCTAGCAGTTAACAGTAAACAAGCTAGATGGACAGCCTCTGCATTTTAGAGAATGATAGCGAAAGACAGATTTTCAAAAAGAAAAGACACTTAACAGTAAACAGTAACCAATTAACTGCATCATCCAACCATCTGCTCGGTAGATTTATTCTTTGCCAGGGTTAAGAAGGCCACTGTTCACTGAATCTGTTTATCATACATGTGCCTTGTTATCAACTTGTGAGATGCTTCATGTCTCTCAGTAATTGGATCCCAGTGTGTGTGCGTGAGTAAGAAGACAGAGACTAGGTAAGTGTGTCTCTTCAGGCAAGCAGCTCCACTTTGAATTTACTGAGTCGTGACCAGGTCGTGACTCGAGCACCCTGAATGACAGGTCAGAGCACTGGTGCAAGTTTGAGACCTTTCCTCTGTAACAAATATAATTAAGTCACACAATTCAGACTGAGAAAGAGAAACAAGTGCAGCATTTCTTGGATATCGATTGGATATCTAGATCTCTTGGGATTTGAAAAGAGGACATTCTACTTAATTGTGTGCCACAAGTACTGCTTGAGAAAAGAAAATAAGGATATCGTGCTTAAGATGGTAAGGAAGTTGAATATAGGTTGCTTTTACTCAAAAAAATTGTTTTAAATGTCATCCCTCAGTGCTTCAATGCCAAGAAGAAGAAACCTGGATTAATTGATTTTTGGATTGTCTAATGATTTATTTTGATCTGATATTTTTTGAGTTTTCAAATAAACAAAATATCCTTCCCCGCAGACACTTGGCTATTTTTACATTCTCAGAGGACACTCTTTCACTCTCTTATACAATCCGCATTGATGATGGGAACACTGCCATCAAAACAACACATTCTCAAAGACTGAAATACAATATGCCATATTGTTTCAAGAGATGATTAGAAGAACTGATTTCCAAACATTTGGAAAAACTTGAAATGTATCAGACATATGTTCTACCTCTTGAAGCTGAAGTACATTAACTTCTCGTGGAAAAAAAAATGAAGTAGACATCATGTTAAAACTATGATAAAACAGGACCAACACAGAATCTCAATTAATTTATTCTAAAAAGACAGCTTTCATCATATTCCACATCATATGTCTTCATATCTGTAAAGCAGATAAATATGTTTCATTTTCCCTTTTTTGCATTTAAAACAGCTCATCAATCATCTGACAAAGTAACTCAAACATTTTCATATTTACATTAC